AACGTCTGGGGACATTCGGCGAGAAAGTAAATCTTTGATAAATCATGTGCCGGTGGGCAGAGTGCCAGGGAGCCGACCCACGGCCTTGCTTCTAGGCAGTCGGCCAGTGGGAGCGCTCCCGACCTTGCGAGACGCACGTGCGGGGATGCATGTATGGAGGTGGCTGGAATACGAACAGGTTTTCGCGGGCGTAGAGAAGCTGTGATGCTTATCCATACGTAATTTAATGGATTTTTAAGATACATGGAATAAATTATGTGCAATATCCCTTTCTATTACTGATGTAGCGATAAACCTGCTGAGTACTGAGATGTTCGCCGATTTTGATAGAACCCGGAAGCAGTAGATATGCACACTGAAAAGGGACGAAGAGAAATTACGTCGAAATCCCTGAAAATGAGACACCTATGCTCGAAAAAAGGGGACGCCTTTTGAGACGACGCTCCAAAAGTAGCACCAGCCGCCTTGTAGTCCGTTGGGGACAAGCAATGAGCGCCGAGGGGCAATGTCCCCATTCGCGATGCAGCTTACACTCTGCTTGTCAAGTGGAGTTCCTTTGGCGATCTCGCGTTTCATCTCGAATGCTCTCGTTAATCTGCGGTGTCGTGATCAGTACAAGAATATTCTTCAAAAGAATTACAAATTAATTATTCAGGAGTCATGTATATGATATATTAGGATATTTTCTGCGACCCGGCGTTATATAATGGTTCAGAAAGTGTGACAGATATTTAGTATGCCCGGCGGGCGACTGCCTTGCCTACCACATCATGTCATGACCCACATTCCCTCACTTTCTATTGCCGGCAGTTGACCACCGTACAACTGTGATAACAAACACAGAATACTAATCAACAAATCTATTTTCTGGCTTTCCAATCTATAACCCCCAACCTCCCGGGCCATAGCATGATCCTCAGATGTTTTTGAGTGACTCATGTTCCGTGGAGGCGTCGCTGCCCCCCCCCCCCCCCCGCGTCACTGTGGCCTTGACAATCATTGCGCATCTTCAGCACCTCCGCAGCCATCTCATACACCGGGCGTGTGGGAGTAATAACTGAATTTGGCATATATGTGAGATGGATAAATCAATTTGAAGCCGTTAATGTTGTGAGTGAAAACAGTGGTAAGGAATTGCGTACATACGGGTATTTGCGTGTCGTCATAATTACGTCATAGCCTGTGTTGGTATCATACCGTTGAACAATATATTATATAAGTGATTATCTTCAACGCTTTCAGACAAAAATAGTGTCGGATCTTTATTAATCGCACTGACAATACCTGGTGTATTTCGTTACGAATTTTTGATACTCCAAAGTTAAAAAAAAAAAAAAAAAAAATCACAGTAGAAAAGTTTTATGGTACTATTTCTGGCTGACCAAATCGTAGGCCGCGGTTCGTGGGAGGAAGCGCGGTTTCCTGCCTGAAATAGAGCTGTGCATGAACACATTTACATGGAAAACAGTGAAATACATAGGGTATGAACATGGGAATAAATGCAAGAGGAGGCAGGGTTGTACGCTGACAAACAAGCACACATGATAAACAAACAAACTCACTCAAACACACAGGCGGACAAATACGCACATGCACACCCACACGCGCGCACACGCGCACGCATACACACACATACGCACAAATACGCACACGCACACATACGCATACGTACGCGCACACACACACACATACGTACGCACACACACACACACACAAACACACACACACACACAAACACACACACACACACACACACACACACACACACCAACACACGCACACACACACACACACACACACACACACACACACACACACACACACACACACACACACACACACACACACACACACCACACACACACACACACACACATGTGTGTGTGTGTGTATATATATATATATATATATATATATATATATATATATATATATATATATATATATATATATATATATATATATATAATACATTGATGCATGCACACTTGTACTATTTCTTATTGCGCATTAGGACATGTATCAATACGTTTAAAACTGATAGCGGACGCATCGGTGTCGAAACTTAGCGACACTTGTTACCGCGAACATGAAATTACGTGTATTTACAACGTATATTTTACATTGACTCATGTTATGCTAAAATACTTTTCTCAGGATAATGTATGATTTTATGTTAATGAATGGAAACTATACATAAGGTCAAATATAAAGAGATGTTCGAAGAAAAAATGAAGCATAAACAGTATATGGAAACTCCAGTCGGAAAGATTCAACGGCCATTTAAGACTTTAAATGTCCTGGTTTGCGATTGCGAAAAGAAAATAATAACAAAATTTGAAATGAAGAAGACAAACTTGATTTAGAATAATTAATAATATATAAAAATAATTCTACTGAGATTTTTCTAGGAAGCCAAACAAGGAAAAAAATAAGTAGACATTAACCATTTACTCTTCACGATCGCACCATATTTGGCATTTTCTACAACCTGCTGCTGGTAAAGTATCTCTTCATTATTATGATGTCTCACGCCTCACTTCAACTCTTTAGCACTGAGATCTTGATTCCACGAGGTCTTTTGGATCTCCAGGTTAATGTGTGTTCAAATTATAGAGGAATTAACCCGTAGTTCGACAGAAAATCAAGTTTGACATATACGAGGATGCATTCCTGGAGGGGGGTTTGGCACCGTGGGATTTTGCGGTGCCAAAATCAGGGCATGGGGAACTCTTTACGACATAGTACTGTAAATGGAATATATACCCTTTATAACCAACATGTGAAAGCATTGTGAAATCTCGTCGGCCTCTCCCTGGGTGAATATTTACACGCCTTGGCTTGTGGGGCGATCTCGTCCTGGTTTTTCGCCGCCGTTTCGAGGGTTTCGGTTTTTTTTCTGAGGTAAAACTAAGATTATTTTTATGCCTCTGGTAAACTGCTTAGAAAGGGGGCTGACCTGTGTTTTATGTGACTATACAGTGTTTCTTTAGTTGGTGTAGATGAGGCTTGAAATAGATAGTTGTGTAGGTGGGGAGTTGTCAATTTTTATATTCTTTTCGCTAAATTTTAGGGGTCATTCTGTGGAAATATATTCCTATAGATATTGTTTTTATTATTGAATATGTAGTTAAGAAAAGAATTCCATTGAATCAGACTTGAGAACAAGCAGAATTTATACCACAGTGACTTATGTAATACCATGAATTTCTGTTTGAAAAAAAAGATAGGAGACCGAGCGTAAATATTTGCAGGATGTCTTTCAGATGTTGATATTTTGATTAGCTCACAACGTCTTGGAATGTTCTCTATTCAACGTCATAGGGTAGGTGAGGGCATTTTTTGTCGTGGTATTGCATCATCTTCAGAGCCTTCCTGGTGTTGATTTAAAAGATATTCTATTTTTAGAGTGTTTTTGTTTGAAAGTATTTATGTATATGTAAAATAAGTGATGGAGAGGTCTGTGAGTTTGTAAAAAAGAGGGAAGACGAGAGAGAGAGAGAGTGAGTGAGTGAGAAGAAATGACAAAAGTAATAGAACAGTCAAAAAAATGTGGGGGTGAGAGACAGAGGAGAATTAAAGGAAAAGGCATTAAAGTAAGTTGTAAAGGAGATAATATAAGAGTGAATGGGAAAGGGAAAGAATACATAGGAGTAAAGGAATGGATGTCAGAGAGAAGAGAAAAAAAAAAGTGTAGAAGTAATAGAGAGGGAACGAGACTTTAGGGGGAAAACTGTAGGAGGGAAAGAATGCTGAAGTGAAGAACGGTGCATGGAATGGGGATAGGAGGAGATGGGCGGAGATGTACGAGTTGAAGAGAGACATGTAAAGTGGGAATATGTGGGGGTAGGGGCAAGAACAAAAGCTTGAGAGGGAGTGAGTATGATATTGAGAATTGGAATAGGTATAGTAGTGAGTGTGAGAGAGAGAGATGGGGAAAGGAAATGAAAAAGAAAGGAGGAGGGAGGGGCAGTGACATGGGAGTGAGTAAGAGAGAGAGGGAAAAACGAGAGAAAGAATGTGAGAGAGAGGTGGTGAGTGGGAGGGGCAGGGGCATGGTATGATATGGTATATGGTATATGGTATGGTATGATATGGTATATGGTATAGTATGGTATGGTATATAGTATAGTATGGTATGGTATATAGTATAGTATGGTATGGTATGATATGTTATATGGTATGATATGTTATATGGTATGATATGTTATATGGTATGATACGTTATATGGTGTGATATGGTGTATGGTATGATATGGTATATGGTATGAGAGGAGAGAGAGATGAGAGAGAGAGAGAGAGATGGGGGGGTAAGAGAGAGAGAGAGAGATGGGGGGAGAGAGAGAGAGATGGGGGGTAGAGAGAGAGAGAGAGAGAGATGGGGAGAGAGAGAGAGAAGGGAGAAGGGAGTGAGAGAGAGAGGGAGAGGGAAAGGGGAGTGAGAGAGAGAGGGAGAGGGAGAGGGGAGGGGAGTGAGAGAGAGAGAGAGAGGAGAGGGAGAGGGAGAGGAGAGGGAGAGGGAGAAGGAGAGAGAGGGAGAGGGGAGTGAGAGAGAGAGAGAGGGAGGAGAGGGAGAGGGAGTGAGGAGAGAGGGGAGAGGAGTGAGAGAGAGAGAGAGAGGGAGAGGGGAGGGAGAGAGGAGAGGGAGAGGGGAGTGAGAGAGAAGAGGGAGAGGGGAGTGAGAGAGAGAGGGAGAGGGGAGTGAGAGAGAGAGGGAGAGGGAGTGAGAGAGAGAGGGAGAGGGGAGTGAGAGGGGAGTGAGAGAGAGAGGGAGAGGGGAGTGAGAGGGGGAGTGAGAGAGAGAGGGGAGTGAGAGAGAGAGGAGGAGAGTGAGAGTGAGAGAGAGGAGAGAGGAGAGAGAGGGGAGAGGGAGTGAGAGAGAGGGGAGAGGGAGAGTGAGAGAGGAGAGGGAGGGGAGAGAGAGAGAGGGAGAGGGGAGTGAGAGAGAGAGGGAGAGGGAGTGAGAGAGAGAGGGAGAGGGGAGTGAGAGAGAGAGTGAGAGAGAGAGGAGAGGGGAAGAGAGTGAGAGATGAGTGAGAGAGAGAGGGCAGGGAGTGAGAGAGAGAGGGAGAGGGGGTGAGAGAGAGGGGAGAGGGGAGTGAGATGAGAAGAGAGGGGCAGGGACAGGGGTATTAGCTTGGAGGGATAACTATAATTATAGCATCAATTTTTTATGAGATATAAAGTGATATCTATAAGGTTATATTTCACTTCCTTAAAATAGATTTACCATGCTTAACCTGTTTTAACCATGTTGTGTTTGGCAACTATATATATATGTGGTAGTGTATCTCTGAAAAGCAACCAGTCATGGTGAAGTAATGATAATGCATTATTTAATGTTACCAAGAGAGTAATTAGTAAACACTTGTTATTTTGATCACAAAGAGAACATGTGGTTGTAGGTGCTGCCAACCTTATACGGTGTTTTTTCTCTAACCAACTGGGGTGAAAATAACTGAGGGTGCCATGAGGGATTGTTCCTTTTTACCCAGAATACTCATTGAGAGGTAGCAAATAGACAGATAAAATTGGTTGTCATGGTATGCATGGTGGATGATGAAACAAGGCAGTAGTAGCAGGATGGGGTACAGAAGTGTGGGAGTATCAAGTGTGAAGGAGGTATTTGTTGCATGTCTGAGGTGTGATGCGTCAGGCACTCAGACACCTGGCAGGATGCCCATTGCCATCACAGTCTGATCTTGCTGGCCACATGGACTAGTTGGCTCAGATCTATCCCAGTTATAGTATTGGCTGAGTATCTGTTCTCTTCTGCTCAACATACTGTGAAGAAATGATAATTATGATGAGACATTTGAGTATTTTTCTTACATGTTGACGGGAGTGCTGTGTGCAAGTATTGATTCAGAGGTTTTAAATGCTGATAATAGGAATTTGCTCTTGAAAATTGGCAAGATTCAGTTTTCTCATGTTATGATCCATGTTTTTGTGGAAATTAAATAGTATTCACATGAGAATGTGGTAATAGGAATTGAAATTGCACGTCAGTGATCTCTAGTGAATCCTCTGGATCTAATAGGGGTAAGAACTTTTTTATTGTATTGGGTCTTCAAAAAAAAAAAAGAAACACTGCTTAATTTGTGTTGTAAGAAAGATATTTAATGGTCATTTATATTATGATTGTCAGAAATGGAAATTTTAAGTTATTTTATGGTTTGCAATTTTTTATATTGTAGTAGCTATCCAGTTGTTGCATGTTTTGTTCAGCTGACTGTTGTCATGTTTCATAGGATTGTGTATGTTAGATGAAGAAATGATTATTAAGTTCACTAGGTATTTCTTATACATAGCTTAGTATCAGAAGTGCCTTGAAATCAGAGGAAGTACAGAAAAGGGATTATTTGAGATTTTAGAAATATATTTGATATTAAATGTTGGTGTGGAAGTATAATCAAAATATTACATTATATACGAACACATACATACATATATATATATATATATATATATATATATATATATATATATTTATATATACATATATATAATATACATACATATTTAATGTATGTATGTATATATATCATATATAGTATATATGTTGTATACATTTATTTGTTTATTTATGCACTATTTAGAATGACGTTCACACATAGGAAAGCAAGTGTATATATATATATATATATATATATATATATATATATATATATATATATATTTATATATACATATATATATTATATATATATTATATATCATACATATTTAATGTATGTATGTATATATATCATATATAGTATATAAGTTGTATACATTTATTTGTTTATTTATGCACTATTTAGAATGACGTTCACACATAGGAAAGCAAGTGTAAACATACCATGTTACATTATGTAGTCTTATTGCAATCCATTTTACAAAATTTTTAATTACGGTTGATAATTAGATGCCAGTATGTTGATCATTACTGATAATTGGAAGATATGCTATTTAGTTTCTCATTTGTATTTCTTCGTGTTCTGAAGACACAGTCTTACAATAATTGTCAAATTTATATTGGTGTTTGTTGATATGTGGTAATATTTTAGAATATATTTGAATTTGGGAAGCATTCTTTTATATCTTTTGTCAGTAAAAGTCATACCTTGCAAAGTGATAAGATAAATATGAAATAATTGACTTTTTTTCTTTTATATATTAACATTTTGTTCTTTGTGGGTGTGTCTCTAGATATGTATTGTATCATGTGTTATTGATGATGATCATGTATTATTCATGATGGTCCTGTGGTTTGGTTATTCTGGCTTTTATAACTATATGCCTGTAATTATCCAGAGTTAGTTGATGCTATAGCCTCTACAGGTTATACTCAAACAAAGTCTTACTAACCATGACATATTATCTGGCAAGACAAAGCTTTGTCTTGCCAGATAATATGTCATGGTTTGTTCTGTATTTAATGATAGATTGTCAGCAATGTCTACAAACTCTGCCTTGCCAGAATGTATATGATAGAGCTGTGTTGGCCTGTACTAGAGC